AAAAAAAAAAAAAAAAAAAAAAAAAAAAAGCAAAGGTAAAATCAAGCATGTAAAACTAATCCAAGATCTTGGAAAAAATACAAGATAACCTCCAGCCTAAAGATCCAACCAGTACACACAGCACCAAACTAAGCCTTCTCAAATACAGGAGGGAAAAAATCCAGCTCCCCAGTCAGAAGTAGAAAATGTTAGAAATGACCAGTTTTATCAGCCTTCTTCCAGGCTGCCAGAAGGGCACTATGCAAGTGTCCCTTGTCCCTTCTGTGACCACCTCCCTGCAGCATGTAAGGCAAGAGGTGGCCAAGTGGGACACTTGGTGGGCGTGTTCCTCCTCCCCCCAGCCCAGGAGCCCCCCGTGAGGGACCAGCAGGTTCACCCTTGACAGGGACACAGCACATCAGATCCATGCTGCTGCAGCACAGGATTTCACTTCCCAACAGGAACAGTCTCTCTAAAGGGTAGGATTTGGGCCTTAAAGTCTTTAGCTCAATTTCCCACGCAAAAGCTTTTTCCACCTTTCCCCTAGGGCCATGCTGGGGAGGGGAAGCAGCTCCCAGCCACAGCGGATCTCCCTCCGATGTGTCTGGCAGGAGCCCACAGTCCCCATCGTGAGGCAACATCAGCCACTGCACGAGTGACCCATAGGTTTGCCCCAGTCCCACTCATGAAGAAGCACCAAAGCTGCCCCAGCAGGGAACCATTCACCAGGAGGGACACAGCAAAGCCCAAAAGCAGAGCTTAAATACTTTTGGAAAAAATCTGCACTTCAAGTATTTCAGGGAAAGCCTGATGCAAATCCAGCAAAAACAGTGGGTTGGAGTCATGCTGAAGGTGCAGCCACCCCCTTGCTGTCCCAGCCAGCAGCATTCACAAAAAGCTACATTTCTATACACCCACACACATTGCAAAACTCATCCCATAAAGCACAAGCCCAGGCTTAACTTATTCAAGTCAGTGGTGCTCCTCACCTGCTGACGGTTAAGGCAGTGCTGAGCTGCTGTGCAGGTGTGAAGGGCTAATGCAGGCGCAGCACGGGGCTGATTTGGCTGCCTGAGCTCAGGGTCAGAGCCTCAGCAGAGGTAAATCTCCCAACCCCACACTGCTGCCGAGCTCGAGTGGTTTTTCCCCGTTGTCTTTAATGAGGCTGGAGGAAAGCAGGCGAAATTTCAGCCTGGTAACTGCAGAGATGGGAACAGGATTTCTAGCCTTTACTGGAAATTATATCCATTTTTCATATCCATTCTGAATTTCAACATATTTGTGTTAGATTGATTCCTTTATAAGTGTAGATTTTGTTGTTGGAAATGATTTTACACACATTTTTAGCATGAAGATAGGAAATGAAAACCTCCCAAATCCATCTGCCTGGAACAGCGTGTCAAGGAACAACACACACACGGTTACGTCAGCTTTCGTCTCCATGGGGTGCAAAATAATTTGGGGTTCTCAAATCCTCGCTAGGAAGAGAATAATGTGTAAATAAAGTGCATGGCCTCAGCTCTTCGGCAGTTCCTAACTCTTGCTGATATTGATGGCAATTAGATGCATAAATGTCTTTGGGAACAGGGCCTTGGGGCCCAGACCATGAGGCTGTGTGGGCTCTCAGCCCCACCAAACCCCAGGCAAGGACTAGTTTTTTGGAGGTGCAGATGTTGGCATTATTTAGCTGATATTTTACAGATGCTGCCATACAGTTCTTACATGTTTCTTTGTAAATTCAGCATAATTTCGTATATGTTATTGAACTTCAGACAGCAGATAGAAAAACTATTTGGGTTGGAAAGTTTTCAGGGTATGAAAGCAGATGATACCCAGACCAACTGCGGTATCACTATAATAATATATGTCATTGTGATAATTTCCACCTTGAGAATTAGGAGCTGCATAAAATAACAACATAAAATCGGTGTTTAAAATATAAACTTGGCACCAAGTTCTTTCTGCAGCTGCTGCAAAACTGCACACAAATCTAATCACAGGAATAGTACTATTGTTTTTAATGGATTACGTTTTATTAGATTTTGAAGAGTGTTCACATCATAAAATGCATGCAGGAAGTACTGTGTATGTAAAACACAGCCACATTAATTATGAAAGCTAGTAAATGAATCATACATTACTGCAAATATATTATGCATTGCTTACAATGCTTTGCCATGGCATGTTTGCACGATAGAAACAGAAACTAGAAAGGAAGGTTGGAAAAAAAAACAACTAAGAAAAAATAACGTTAGCTGAGGAGGCAAGAGGAGGAAAAGTACAGAGGGAAAATGTGATACCAGCATGACCTTATTTTTATATGAAGCCAAACTAATGGCCCTTGTGATATTTGAGTACCTGGGCTCTGCAAACTGGGGAGTCCAAGAGAACTCACGGGGTGATTTCTCTGACAAAGTTCTGTGTGATTTTGATAAGAGAATCGTATGGCCTATCTCACAGGGCATCGCTAGAGCTCACAGATTTCTCTCTATTTTTCACAAAATGACTTTTCGTGTCTGTTTGCAGATTTTAGCAAAGAGTTGGTGGCGTACTGTATATGGAGAGTGAACTGGCTTTTTAAGATGATGACTTATTTCCTGCCAAATTTGCTTTAAGAAACCACTTCAGTTCTGTGCACGAGACTTCATGTTGCTTTGATTTATTATCCAGGATATAAACGGAGAGCTGTCTGGTTATAGTGGAATTCAGAGCAAAATTAAATTTTTCTCCTATAGGAAGAACATAACTATTTCATGCAGCCAAAACACATTATCTTGTCCGTAAAACTCTCGCTGTATATTTGTATATTAGGTGGGGAGAAGAGGCATACCATGAGCCTGCTGAGATGATACACATTCAGCTCAAGTTGCAGCCAAATCACGATGTGATGCAAGGCTGCTGATCCATCTTAAAAACTGCAGAGCAGGCTCCTGGAGTACGGGAAAACGCAAACCCTCTGGCACCCCTGAGCTCGGTCTCTCTCCCCTCACTCGGGTTCGTGCTGAACGCGGAGCCTCTCGCTCCCAGCAGGCAGGGAAGGCAGCTGCCCGCAGAGCTAACGCTGGTGAACTGGGTTTTTCTTTTGTTTTCTCTCCTAAGCAAGACGTATTTTGCAAGTTGGTTATCCCATTGCTTGTGTTCCCCCAAACCTGCCGGGAGAGGGGAGAGCTGGGCTGGCAGAGCAGGGCGGGGGCTGCGTGCCCAGGAGTGGCAGCAGCAACCGCATCTCTGCTCCAGCGAACAGCACTGCTGGCCTTCCTCCTCCTGCGGCTTTCCGAGGGGCCCCTCTCTCTCATCGGCATCGCACTGCTGTTGGCACCCAACTGGTCTCATCTGTCTTCAAGGCTCCAGTGCAAACTGCAAGAGAAAAAAGAGAATATGCAGTCGGTATTGCATTAAAACCTTGCCAGGCTCTGCCCAGGCAGCAGGGATCCGATCCGGCAGTCCCTTCCCAACAACAGCCTTCACTGGATTTTAAGAAGAGTTTTATTTTAGGCTGAATTTGCCATGCATATGTTTAACTGAAAGAACTGCTCCACCCCGTCTCCGCTCAGCCCTCGCTGCCGTGCCACACCACTGTAAAATACTGCAGAGACAGAGAGAGGCTGGGGGTTATTAAACCCTACTGAAGACTTTCACCTTTGTCATATATCGAAAGGACCTTTCCATTAAACGATTTTGTGTTAATGAACCCTATGGAGATGGCTACTGACTAGAGAAAAATCTTTGAAAGAAGGAAACTTGAAATGGGGAGTTTGGGATGAGCTAAGCCCAAGGAGGAGGAACGCTGAGAGCAGACACTAGGGCAGGCGCTTGCTGCTGGCAACTGATAACTGCAGCAAAGAGCACACTGTTCAGTAACCTCTGTTTCACACAGCTGAGGGACTAGGACTGTTCTGGCACCTCATATACACAAATAGTTCCAAGACTCAGGTTTTCATGTCAGCTCTTATTGCCCTCCAAGTCTGAACACCCAAGAAAGTCAGTTGCATATTCATTTTGGTGTTAGACCTCACATCACATCTCTGAGATGAAATCATGGAAAAACGCTGGTTGAAAGGGGCCTCTGGAGCTCTTGAGATCAAACCCCTCCTCCCTCAAAGCAGTCAATGTCAAATCATAATAAGCTTTACAGTATGCAATCTGGAAAAGTCATGAAGAAATTACATTGCACTCCCTCTCCCCAAGTGACTTCGGTGAGATCTCCCACATCAAATTCTACTTTTGTCTCACTTTTGGCTAGATATACTATTCTAGGGAAGTCTCAGGGACTGTATTGAGTGCAGAACTGGATTTTCTAAGCCTGTAAACCTTTGCTGCCCCAAGTACAATTCAGCATCTATTCTTCGAACCTCAAACACTGACCTAAGTGGCTGTCCTGGAGAAGGATGTGAGCTACTGTGTTTAAATGGTTTGGACTGGGAAAGGGCCAGAGCCCACTGAAATCTGTCTCTGCTGATTCCAGTGTGTTTTGGTCCAGGCCCTGAAGGAGAATGATGTCGCCAAAACTCATGGTGGGTTTTGTACTTGGCAAGCGTTCCCTCTTTGTGCCAGGCTGCCATGCAGCCTCTGGCAGGGCTAAGGACACAGCCCGGGTCCCCACACAGCCTGCCCATCCTCTCTCTAATAAAGTGCAAATAAAAATCTAGGAACACTGCAAATGGATCAGGGAATGCATTATTTCCATTTGACAAACCCCTTCCTTCTTGTACTGTATTCAGCCTTTGTTCCCAAATCTTTCGGTGTCCCCCATGCCAGAGAACAGCAGCAACGTCAATGCTTCAAATTTAGGAATTCAGGATCAGCGTGGGAAGTTCAGTGGAGTGACTCTGTCTCTGGGACCTGCAGGACTCTGCAGAGCATCTCTCTTCCCTGGGATGCAAATCTGTCCTGTTTACCGTGGTCAGCTGGAGAAATCTACCTGACAGGGGATTGGTTCCGTGCCCTTTAACACCATCTGGCTCATGTTAAGTCATTAACATCACAAGAACAAATGCTTCGGCGTTGGTGTCAGGCAGGGACCAGGCAATGTCTGGCACATCGTGCATCAGTGAAGTGGGCATGTGGGCTGGCATCAGGCTCCATCCCTCCTTGCCCTGGGAGGCTCCAGTGCAGAACCAGAGCTCCGCTCCCTTCTGTCTTATATTTCCAACACCTTAGAGCCAGTAAAATACATAAAGCCTTTGGATGATTTCCGCTAGCTCCAGGCAATCTAGAACGTTTGCCAAAGAATTACATAGAGGCGGTATTGAAAAATAGGGTTGTCTCCAAAGTCTTTTAAATACAGAGGTTGCAACCAGCATCGTTCCTGGCAGGCAGGCAGGCAGGCAGGGAGACTGACCTACCCATCAGGACCCCATTTTGCGACTTACAGAGCCTGTCAGGAGAGATCGATAGTTGGCATGGTAACAAGCTCATTTCCCAAGAATAGAGCTCCTTTTTATTAAATTTGGCTGGCTATTGATCAGTTCCTGATCCACGTATCAAAACATGACAAGCACTTAATGAATCACAGATTTTTATTGAGGCGAATAAAAAAATAATAATATCACAAGGCAGCTGGGGACCGCTGCCTGCTTCCGAGGGCGGCCCAAAGGCTGTGGCCAGAGCTGGGCACGGTGCAGGGGCTCCCAGGCTGGGGCAGGGATGGAAAACGAGCACAAACAGAACCTACTCCTATGGCAATTTCAAGACTCGTTTTCTCCTGCCATGGATGTCTTAGAGCAGCATCCCCATCAAGCAGCTTTTTGTGCTGCATGGGATTTTATCCCTCCTCCCGACTCACTCTCCGTGTCTCTCTGCTGTCCGTTAATAAATAGTGAAGCTGTGCAGTCCCTCCCCACTGCTCCCAGCCCTCCAAACCCAGCAGTTTCCCAGAGGCTGCTCTTTGGACCTTGAAACTTTTCTCTCCCCAGCGGGCTCCCAGTTCCCAACACATCTGCAACCCGCAGGCAGCACAGCGTGTCATGCTGCAGTAACACAACTGATATGGTTAGCCCATGCAGACTTGCTGATATCATCCCTAAAGTTTGTATTAAACTTATTTACCTTGGATCTCCCAAGAAAAGCTGTTTGCGTTGCATCCTTAAGTGCGTGGCCACAGCCCAGGCAGCATCTTGTCCAGTTCTCGCAGCGTGGTACCCTTCTGTTTGCCATCCTGGGGGTCTGCACTCCTGTTTGCCATCCCAGAGGGTGAGTAGCTCCAGTGTAGCACAGTACAAAACCGTCAGCCTTTACCGAGGAGCAATATAGTCCATCAAGAAGATGATATGCCTGTTCAAATTGCTTTAACATGCATTTACATGAGAGATAATAACAGCTCCAAAGGCTTCTTCCAGCCTATTAAATAATACTCACTTAAAATAGTGTCTGAATTCATGCTGAAGTGACAGACTATAATAATCCAGTCATATCTATCTGGCATATACAGCTGACTGTAGATG